GTGTGTGTGTGTGTGCATATATATATATATATATATATATTCACGGTGGTGTTTATTGTGATATACACCTATAAACTCAAAATACACATCGAACCAGATCGAGATAACCAGCTATGACACACTTGGTTGGGCTCTGCAATACAACTCCGCACCCGCCGATAACCAAAACACCATCAATCAATACACCCTCCACAAAATATGATACGCTCGCCTAAAACGATACGATATCGACTATACAAACGCAATACATCAAGCCTAAAACAAAGTTATAACTAACAAGTGACTAAGGACATACCTGCAATGAATCCACGGCCCCCTTAAACAGACCCTCCTTCTCCAGGCGTTGGATTGCTTGGTAGGTAGCCGGCAATTCTTTGAGCTGCGATATACCGTGCAGGCATTTCATTTTGCGTTTCTGTCCCAATTTCGATGCGAGTTCATCTGTAGCCCTGAGTGGTATGGGGCAACGGGTTTTAAGATTAGAGCAGAACAAACCATACTTCCAAAAATACTGAGCTCCACAATCTATGCGAACGTTTCTCCAAGAATATCTGACAAAAGTGGTGAATAGATAGGCTATAGTGGGCCTATTAAATGCGATAACACATCGTCGCGGCGAGTGTTGCTGATTGGCAGTAGACAGTCCTGTCGGCGTATACACAGAACATATGAACACTGACACCAGCACGCAAGCATTTGCATGCAATGGGAAACGCCAGTGCGGCTATAAATAGACACAGTTGACAGACTCTAGAGCACGCCATCTCAGTACTGGTGCGTTAAAATATAGGGGTACTGTTGCAGCCCTGCGCATGCATATATCGGTGAAGTATATCACAATACTACATAGCCATATCATTCGACGGTCCGTTTAATCTGCCGATCTACATACGACTGTACTGTGAACGCCCATATTAAATTAGGTATGACGTTGCATACACATGTCACTGTTCCGCAAAGCAGTCACTTTGTGGGTACGACTGCACACATTTCAGAAGGAGGTACAATGAGCACAAGCAGATATCTAGCCTCCCCATGGGTTGTTCCCATTGGTTAATAAGAGTATATGCTAGTGCCTGCTTGTAAATAATAAAAGTACCCCTATAGTCTCGCTGCATTGGGGGCTGCCTAGCCTACAACACATGCACAGATACCGTATGTTCATGGGGTTCTACAACACATGCACAGATACCGTTTGTTCATGGGCTGTAGCGTGAAAGGATCGACCACCCCCGACATCAAACCAGCGAGTTCTGCAGCCATGGCGGTGTGTTCAGTCTGTGTGTTGGAGAAATACAAAATTACACACGTGTCTACAAACTCCATGTTGTTGGCGTTACCCGAAGTTCGGCGATGGGCATGAGTCTCCAAGGCAACGCATGAAAACTGGGTGCCCCTACCACACACCACGACTATGCAGACTATTACAGTCGAATATCTAGATTGATATGGTCTACTACACAGTGCACACGTAAGGCCTACGACCAATACATATACATATACACATCTTTAAGGGCTTTGAATGTTCGTATGCAAGTACAACCCACGCCACAAGCCTAAAGAGGATGTCGAGACAGCAGGCTATCTATGTAGTGCACACGAAAGACCTACGACCGATACATATACATATACACATCTTTAAGGGATTTAAAAGTTCATATTTAAGTATAACCCACGCCACAAGCCTATAGAGGATGTCGAGACAGCAGGCTATCTATGTAGTGCACACGAAAGACCTACGACCAATATATATACACAGCCTTAAGGGCTTTAAATGTTCGTATGCAAGTACAGCCCACGCCACAAGCCTATAGAGGACGTCAAGACAGCAGGCTATCTATGTAGTACACACGAAAGACCTACGACCGATACATATACACAGCAACCACTTCATCAGCTCACATTTGGGCACCAAGTACACTACTCACACATAAGACTTGATACAAACACAGGTAAACGTCCTATATGTAGCAGCACGTGACTAGATGACATGGGTCCAAGAGATGTATCATCATTCGGTACGAACCAGAACGTAGACTACACACCCACGATACGTCGTTGGAAAACGCACACACGATAGTCTCATACATTAACCACACGAGAGCACGACACGGCAGGTCATGCCACGCAATGGTAGCTGATGCTAACAATCAAAGTGCATATATGTACCTCTGTAAGACAATATGTACCTCTGTAAGATAATATGTACCTCTGTAAGATAGTCATTGGCCAAGTGAATGCCGTCCGGTTGCTTATCAGCAGGTACATCAATCCATTGCACCATCTCGTCCGCATGGCGTTGTTTGAATGCGATGGCTGCGTATGTGCGTGTGGACGACGCCTTCGTGCCTATCCTAGTGTCTAGACCTGATTTGCATGCCTGTGTGGATCGCAGAGTGTTTGGTGTGCGTGTGTGGTGGTTTCGTACTATGGGTAGCATTGGCGTGCGACATAGCTCCTGTGTGGCACAGAGAGGTTTCGGCAGTAGGTAGGTCAAACGTGACCGTAACATGATGCTGTATGTTTATAGTGTACAATGTTACTACTATCATTTATATTTATAGGGCTATGTCTTTACATACATATTTACTTATCTGTATTTTGTGTGTATTTATGTACGTACTGTATGTAAATAGTGTGAAATGCGAGTCATGTCATCAAAGTGACGCCAGCGATATCACAAACTTGATCTACTTTAATCATTATTTATTTACATATATTTATATATGTGTATAATTGAGGGCTATGTATATAATTAACTATATAAGGCGTACTTCGCTCATAATGTTGAGTGTATGATGAGGATGGTTCAATACGACAGCCGAGAGTGTATCGCATGAAATGTACACTCAAGGAGAAGCAATGTCGACGATATACGAAGAGTTCCATATATACAGACTTGCATATCTACATACATACCTAGCATTACGCATTAGCAGTAGGTAAAGCGACTGCAGAATAGTAAGTAAAGCGATTGCAGAATAGATGACCACTATTAATATTGTATTAAAACACTTATAACACTGAAACACTTTAAGCGGATACTATGAAGAGCGACGCCGTGGTTATTGGGGCCGGGGTGGTGGGGCTGGCAATCGCCCGTAGACTGGCAATGCTAGGCAGAGAGGTATAGTATACTATTCCACTGTGTTTGTAGCAGCTCTGTTAATAGCGTTAATATCGTATCAGTCAATATATATGACTTGTTTGTTTGATGGCGACATGTATTAGAAGATATGTCGTGTGAGATGGTTCGGTCAGAATACGGGCACCAAGTGCCTGATGCAGATGTACCCACGCTATTCTCAGCCAGCACAGAGATGTGTATAATTTGACTGACGTTTGTCTGACGTTTGTTAGACGCACGCAGTAGTTGTTGAATAGTAGAGACGTATTAACGTATGCAAGGGTATGAAGCTTGGTTTATTTTACTTATTGAACATCTATAAACACATTCACAAATATTTATGGCAAGAAATTAGCTTCCACTGAGACTATGTGTACAGCAATGTGGCAAAGTTACTTCCGTGATTCTCTAGATCACGGATTAGTTTACCTGAACATTTGGGGTCGTGTACACGGTTTATGTATTATTTTTTATAAATATACGTATATATTTATCAGTCTATATCTTGCAGTGTATAGACATACTTCTATGTAGTCTTTGAACGTACTTATAGGTACTTCCACACACACACACAAGTATATATGTTTAT